AAAAAAACTTTACACATTAAACAGAAATGTCATATGAAATATACAATTTTAAACAAGTTCTTATTAAGTAATAAGGTTCAGGGCTGCATATTTTGTATTGTTAATTAAGAATTAAGAAACTTTTAGTTTATTAGTTAATTTAATTTACTTTTTTGCATACAGTAATAGCTGCAGTTTTTCTGACATAATGACAAACGCGAAAGAAAGATTAAACATGTTTTCGACTTAGTAAACGCATTATATTTACATACAAGTAAAATAATGTTCAAATATCTTCATAAGAATCACACACTCACCATCTCTCTTTCCAGGGAAAGTGCTGTGTGTGGCTTCTACCTCACAATGTTTTGCTGAAGTGTCTCATGCTGTGAAACTAGTTTGAGGCGGTGATTTCCTCTTTAAGTAAAGCATAAGTTATCATCAGTCGACAGTTAACACATCATCTGAATCCCATCAAATTCCCTGTATATTTCGTCACACATTTTAAAAAGAGGAAATGACTAAAAACATTCTAGCAATGAAGGACTGATTCTGTACTAAACAAAAGTAAACAAATAAGAAGAACCAAACAAAATCTTACACCCAGGATTGTTTAATCCATCTTCAACCACGAAGACAGTAATATGATAAGGTATACATTATTTCATTTTAATTTTTGACCCTACAGTTGCATGTTAGCTGGAAAATGATGTAAAAGAGTTGCATCACATCTATGTACATGTCAACCACAAACACTAGGCGGGCAGGACTGGGAAATTTAGTTTCAGGCCTATGACGCACCATGAGTATCTTGTGTAAACAACTAGCACATACGCAGGATAGAAGAAAGTTTATCCGGGCCTAGAGACAGTGTAATATAGTGACAGTTTGGTTTGACAGTAGAGAGTTCACCAGGTCCTAAAGGCAGTGTAGTGTGACATTTTGGTTTGACTTTTTATTTATTTAGAAGAAAATACATACAATTCATCTGTAAATAAAATACAATTTCAATCTTATTAGTCCAAATGCTTCTACAAAATACATAAACTTGACAACACAGTTACCTGAAACATTCTGTCTGGCATTAAAGCAAAGGTTATGTAAGCCGCAGTACTTGGTTCTTATAAACACAATCTTCTGGCTGTTGTTTAGCATAGACTTTATTACTGAACACTTTGCCTTTTCTCTTTCTGCCTGCACAATCAAATCCTTTGATTAATGTCTTATTTCAGGTGTTAAGTGGTAACTCCCACATTTTGGAGGCAACTAATGGGGCTTTCACAATGGCAGTTTAGTTCAAAACAGAACACGGTTTGCATGAAAAATTGGTGACGTGAAAGCTGTCATGCAGATCCGGGAGTGCACCGTGGTACCAAACCAGAGACTACCTGTAGGAGGTGGTCAACTCAGCAACTCAGATCCGTACTTGTTCAGGAAGTAAAGTAACATGCACATGCGTTACCTAATGATGTCATTAGTTCACCAAAACACATGTAGGGGATGAGAGTGGACCACAGCAAATGTGCTCAGAGCAAAACGTTTGATGAGCATCCAACTAAAACATTCCGAGGAGAAAAAAAGGTGTTTCACAAACAATGTGTAAATAGCATTTAAGAGCATAGCATTTTTACTTTTTAGATGTTATGAAAATAAAAATGTCTTCCTTAAGATTTTGACGTCATGGTGACAGAAAGCAGAAATAGACATAAAGAAGGATACTGATGTAGATAGAGAGGTGTTTGAAGGAAGACAGTCATCATTTCCACCAAATACTTGTCTTCTTTTTTTTAAACTGCTGAACTACTTCTTAAATTACATTACTGTAAAACACATTAATGAAGTATTGCTAATCTCTATATTTACCTAAATTAACACACATACGATTTTCGTCAGGCAGGAAAGTAATGATTTTTTGATTGGATTGTACCAGTATAACAGATGTACAGCGTAGTAATGCTCTGAAACAAATGGTTCAACAAATGTCCCGTAGACCTCATTTGCTATTCTCCACCAAAACCTCTCTTGTAGAGCAACATCTTCATGCTCTGATTGTGCAGCTGAACTTAAGAAGTGATGAAGTGGTCTGGTTATTTTAACCACACCGTGTGGGAGGTTGTAAAGATGTGTTGAGGCAGGTGATGCACCTAAGGTTGATGTAGGTCATTGGTAAACATGCAAAGGCAGTACATGTAAAATAAATAAAGATTTAATTACTTATGACCTCTACTGCCTGCAGTTGTACACCTTTTTACTGCACGTCATAAGGCTGTCATAGGAAGCTCTTTGAAAGCCATTTCCTCATGATCATTTATACATAAAGGGCTGTTTTAGGCTGTACAGCATATTGAAGTTATAGCTACCCTGAAACCATTTCTCCCATGCCATTCATGTAATTAAATGCATAGAAAGTGCATACATTACTAATATTTGTCTAATCAAATGTTCTCAAAAATGAACATAATACCACCTGCCACAGACTAATATCAGCAAATCATGTTCAAAGCTTTTTTTAGAGTGTGCATAATAATAATAATAATAATAATAATAATAGAAATAATAAATGTATAGAGACACAACGTATCGAGTTAAACTTTAACTTACAGTGTTTTTAGAACGCTGTGTCATGTGCGCAGATCTCCAAAAGACTCAAGCGAGACATCTAAGCAATAGAAAGCAGCATAGTGGAACACAAAAAAGCATTCTGTGTAAAACGGCCCCTTGAAACGATGTGCGGTCAATTGATTCACTGCCGTATTGCCAAACACTGAAAAACAAAGACCAGAAAAACTTGAATTTCTCATGCCAAGTTATAAATTGCACAATTAGTTAGAAGATATTTATGTCATGCAATTCATAAATGTATCTTTTTTTACTGAAAGCTGAAGACAATTGATATCAAAATCAACTGCTGGGCGCCAGATCTTTTTCCAATTTAGTGCCCAAAATTTGAAACAATCTACCTAGCAGTCTTGTTCAGGAGGCAGACACACTCTGTCAGTTTAAATCTAGATTAAAGACCCATCTCTTTAACCTGGCATACACATATCACACTATCACATTTCTATAATTCAAATCCGTTAAAGGATTGTTAGGCTGCATTAATTAGGTCAACCGGAACCGGGAACACTTCCCATAACACCCAATGTACTCGTTACATCGTAAGAAGAATGGCATCTACGCTAATATTAGTCTGTTTCATTCTTATTCCGAGGTCACTGTAGCCACCCAGATCTATCCCGTTTCCAGACCAGATGGTCACTGCAGTCACCTGGATCCAGTTCGTATCCAGTCCAGATGGTGGATCAGCATCTAGAGACGACCTCTACAGCACTGAATGTCAGCGGAGACCATGTCAACTAGACAAACCCTAGAGACAGATCCCCTGCAAAGACCTCGTTAGCCAGTCTGTTCAATCAGTCCTCTGTTCAATCTGACAAGCGCTGCAGAATTAAACCACACCATGCATGTTTTGTCTGGCCAGAGGAGAACTGGGCCCTCCGACTGAGCCTGGTTTCTCCCAAGGTTTTTTCCTCCATTTCTGTCACTGATGGATTTTGGTTCCTTGCCGCTGTCGCCTTTGGCTTGCTTAGTCAGGGACACAATTTCTGGCAACATCGTTGACTTGACTGCACAGACACTATTGGAAGAGAACTGAACTGAGTTAGACAATGACTTTAACTGATAAACAGACTGTTTTCTATTGTCCTCTTGCATTATCAGCACACATTTGTCCTGTTTAACACTGTAAAGCTGCTTTGACACAATCTGTATTGTATAAAGCGCTATATAAGTAAAGGTGACTTGACTTGACTTGACTAAAAGTATCCACAACAGATCAAAGAAAAATACCTGCGAAAGAGAAAGAAAAAAGAGAAAAGAATGAAAGTCACATACAGGTTTGTAACAACATGAGGGTGAGTAAATTATGATAGAATTTGTGTTTTTGGCTGAACTATCCCTTTCTGTACTTTTTTGCATAGAGTGATATGAATATCTACTAATTTTAATGTTTTAATATAACAACTACAGCAAAAGATCTAAACATGCTTTCAAGTTGCCTCATATTCATATTTATCTATAATAGTTTTTAAATATCTTGATAAGAATCACACACTCACCATCTCTCTTTAACGGAAAGTGTTGTGCATCACTGTGTTTTGCATCTCACAGTGTCTCATGCTGTGAAATGGGCTGAGGTGGTGATTTCCTCTTTAAGTAAAGCATTGGTTATGAACAGTCGACAGTAACACGTCATCTGGATCCCATCAAATTCTTTTTTGTATTTATTATACATTTTTTCAAAGAGGAAATGAATAGAAACATTTTAACAAATGACCGACTCATACATACTGTACTTTACAAACATTGAATAAAATAAATAAGAACACAATCTAAATTCCCATTGACACAAATTAGAGAAATTTAGTTTCAGATCTGTGAGGCACCCTGTGCTAAAAGGAGCAAAGTTTCTAAATATATACATTTTCACTAAATAAACCATCATGTACTCAGATTAGAAGATAACTTTGCTCAAACTATGTGAACTAAAATGATTTTTGCATTTTTCACTGCAACCCAAATTTCATCAGAGCATAAAATATAGTGAAATAATTTTCTGCAAAGAAGCTTTGACACAAAAGACTTATAATGTATTATTTATTTACAAGTAATGACATATTGCAATATAGACAGTCTAAATACCATATCAAAAACAAAAGTCTTAAAACAAAAAGTGCTAAGAGAGACTTTAATAATGCCTTTGCATTGTATCTGAGAAAACGGATATGAGGTCCCTGCTCATTATCATAATTTAAATTAATTTAACAGACATAACAGTTCAGTGCACCTACAGTGCTAAAAAAAATAAAAATAGTTACTAGAAAAAATATTGTTTGTAAACAATGCAGTGACCGTTTGCCAAAGATATATTTGATTCGCAGTGCACCATCAAATATATCTTAGCAAAACCACTTAACACACTTTTGCCTACATCGTACTGCCTTCGTAACAACTGGGTCGATCTGGCTTTAAAGCAAAGGTTATGTAAGCAGCAGTAGCAGCAGTTAGTTCTCATAAATACACTCTTCTGGCTGTGGTTTGTCATTGGACTGCATGTTCTGACGGGCCATGGCGAAACTGAAGTTCTCATAGACTTTACTGCTGAACACTATAGATCCATGTTCGTCTTGCTTTCTGCCTACAAAATTAAACAGACACCATGTTAGACAGAAAAGAAAAACAAACACATACAAATACAATGAACACAGACCAGAAACATAACAGTCTTTTCACAGATTAAAAAAAAAATGTTAGGTTATTTTAACATTGAAATAAACTGAAATAATTGCCTCAACTGTAAAATTATATAAAATTACCTGCTCTGTCTCTTTTTAAACAGTGCAACAATATCTTGTTTTGCCAATAATTTTAGTTTACTGCAGTAACTTATATTTTGGTGGATATTTCCTGTGCTGGTTGACTGGCCTCAGCTGGTTTAAACTGGTCAAGATGATCTCCCAGCCTGGCCATGCTGGTGTTCAGTTGGTTTTACCTACTGGTCTCCCAGCCTGACAAGCTTAAAACAGCCTGACCAGCTAAGGAGGTGGTCAAAGCCCCTCAAAAACTAGCCTGCAAACCAGCTATGACCAGCCCTGAAGACCAGCTAAAACCAGCCAACCAGCTGAGGCCAGTTTCAGTTGTTGTCGTTTTTTTTCTTCAGCAGGGAACTAATAGGCGTTCGCTTTGTCTCCATCTAGTGGAGGTCTATAAAAATAGGTTTTCAATATATATCGAATGGTGAGGTCTGGCGGACTTTATATCGAGTTTTTAATGATCCGTGAGAACTATTAATACATCAGTAGACGAATACAACAACCTCAAGACATTCTTTTTTGCCTTCCCCATGTAAATGGCTACTACAGGTATTGTTGTCTGTTTTGTTAAACTGTGGTAACTTGGTTTTAGCCATATTCCCTGCTGAAAGACATAAATCCAGCCAGTTTGTTATTTTTAACTGGATTAAACAGGTCTTCCAACCTCATCAAGCTGGTTTTAACCTGTCCTGCTAGCTGGTTTTAGAGGTTTTTTATTTTTATTTTTTTTTTTCTAGCTGGTCAGGCTGGGAGACCAGGAAGACTCAGCTAGGAGTACTAGCAAACCGTCCTACCATCTTTTAGCTTTTTTAGTTTATGGTTCACCATATGCTACAAACAGACATGTTCATGCACCTTTTCAGATATTGTCCTAAAAATATATAAAAATGCTGTTTGTAAGATTTTGACATCTTGGTGACAGAAAGCAGAAATAGACATAGAGAAGGATGCTGATGTGTTGAGACAGAGAGGTGTTTGAACAGAGGGAGGGAAACAGTCATTATTTCCGTCAAATTATTGCCTTCTTTTTTTTAAACTGTCAAATCCTTCCTTAACTTGGATTATTGTGAAACACATGACAGAAAAAAACTTTATAGCTTTATTTAAAAAAACACCTTTATATACGCAGTTTTGATATTTGATATTATTTTCCCCCTGTAGTTTCTATAAATTGAAGTAATCTGAGTTGTAATAATTGTCAAAGAGTCAAATATAATCATACTCACATTTGCAAATAACAACCGTGAGGATGCTGCAGAGGATGAGGCCTGCAGCAGCACTGCATGAGATGATCAGCAGCTGGAACGGCACACCGTCAACAGCTGTAATGGTCACAAACAGGGTACGATAAGATCATAAACATCAGACAGATGAATGTTTGACAGACTAAAGGAAAACAGCAACAATCTCTCCTGATTGAACCAAGCAGTATGCTAGAGACCATCACAGTGACTCTCCTACTGTAACTTAGAACGCTATTTCTAATGTATGTACTAATATTAATGTATTTGCATTTTTGCTTTGTATTTGTTTAGTTTTTAGTAATAACCAAAGATTAATTGACAGAATTGCTTAAGAATATTAAAAACATTTTGTTATTAATTATTTGGAGGTACACAGGCATGTATATGATCCTTCACATCACATATGTTTTAGTCTGGTTAAAGTCGAAGCCCATTATTTAATCAAACTGCTCTATATTTCTAACATTTAAACAGGTATGTGTGTGATTTTTTTCAACTAGCAGTTTGGTGGGCTGAAAGCAATTAGGTTAGTGTAAGTTTGCTGAATTGTCATTCATAGTGTTGCATTAAATTAAATATTATGCTCTAGATTGTCCTGGTTAAAGTGATAGGTAGATAAAATGACCCACCTTTGTCAGAAGGTGTCTCTGAGGTGAGTTTTATACTTCTATGGGTTTGTGTACTTGAGTATCTGGCATAACAGGTGATTGTGTCTCCTTCACTCCAGTCAGGTTTACACAGACGCAGCTCGCTGTTCATGGCATAAGATGTGAATGGATGAAGTGACCTTTCACCCCGGCTCCAGGTGAAGTTCACATCAGTTGTCAGACCCTCCACAGAGCAGAGCAGATGGAGACAGGTGTCATTACTGCTGTTCAATTTCTGCAGATGTGGAACAACTACTGTGAAAAATTGTTATTGTTAATTACTGTTATTGAAATAGTTAATTATTGACATCTAGGTAAAATGGTCTACAACAAAAGGACAGTTAAAAAAAATGTATGAATGGCACTCACCTACAACTTGGAATGTCATATTTGTGAAGTAGTCCAATGATGGTGGTGGAATTATTCTTGTCGTTTTACAGCTGTGATAACCAGAGTCACTGGGCTGAACGTCTTCTATTTTTATTTTTAAAGGCTCTCTGGTTAATGTAAAACGAGGAGCGCATTCACTGATGGGAGATACAGTATCTTTATTAATCATCCATTTACAAATAGTGGTACTATTTGTACTATATTTTGTCCACTCTACATCAAATTGATCACTGTCTTTAGGTGACTGGCAGGGCAGATGCACAGTTTCTCCTTTGATTACTGTGGAAACATTCCTTCCGCCTGTGAATTGAGACAAATTTCAGTGTAGCCAACAGCATAATGGTGGCTTCAGATAGGCCTACACAGTACACATATCACATCTATTGTGGAAGAAATGACAGAAAATCTGCCACATATAAGATGCATTACCCATCATTGTAATTAGTCAGTTTAAGTCACAAATGAGACATTAGCCTAGATGAACATTTTTTGCTTTAAATAAAAGGGAGAAGCGAACAGAATTGTCTCTTACCTGTATGTGGAAGATAAATTAAAGTCAAAAATAAAAGACCGTTTGTAGTCCATTTTAAAAACATGTCGATGCGCTCAGTGTGTTTGACACATCTGTACACGAACACAGACATTCTGAATGATGAACTTCCTGGCCATGCGCCCACCCACAATCTAGATCACAAGTCAAAAAAAAAAAATCTTACTTCCGTTGGTCAAACACTTCAGAGATTCACTCTGATACAAATTGTTCTTATATAAAATGGACATTACCATCACCTTCATTGCTTGCCACCATTCTGAAATGACTGTTTATAGACATGATCTGTTCCTGTGAACAGAATATCTTTTATCTTGAATGAAATCTTCCTAACTCATTGTCTTTGTTGTTGTGTATTCGATGACATAGAGGAAATGGAAATAAAAGAGTACTGGTAAGATTTTTAAAAATGCATTTTCTTTTGAAACATGGAGGGATATAAGAACATGGAGTCTGTTTTCTGTTTTTCTCTTTCTTCTTTCAGAGGTTCTGCTTTCCGTAAAAGCATTCTTGAAAGGGAGACCACAGAATTTCACAATCTTCACACTAACCTCCTACTATAGTACAGACAGACGCGTCATGCTCTTAATGTTTTGAGGGGGCACCAGGGACCGTTTAGCAGTGTCATTTTAGTTTAGTATGCAAGGGAACCAGGGTTGTAATAAGCCAAGGAAAGTGAACTGAACATGACAGCCTTGATATTTAGTATATTCTATAGGAATTTTATTTTTTTAACATTTTGATAACTTTTATAAATGTCATAATTTATGATAAAACTTCAGGTTGTCACTGTGATAATTACTACTACATCCATATGTATATACATTTGAATTATTTACTTTTGAAAACCTAAGCTAGATCAATAAATTACTAATGCCTATACTGGCACTGCATTCTGTGGTCCATGATTTGTCTATCATATAAACAATGATGAATGGATTTAAAACATTTGTAGAACCGAAAGGCTAAAATGCACCTGATCTTCATGTTTTGTGAATCGGTGGCTGTTCTCTGTGGCTTGTGAGCCAGACTTCTGTGTTCATTCTGCTGTACTGAAGGACGTGACTGGGTCAAGCAAAAGATGAGGACATTTAAATGGATATATGATAAAAGTCTCATTAAATACAACTCTTCTGTAGTCTTGTTCTGACAAATTAATGTTTTGTTTAAAAAAAATGACACCCAAACACCTGCAAAAACTCATCTGTTCTGTACAATGACAATTCAAACGACAAATATTGTCAAAATGGCAATGAATTTGCTGCACTAAAATATTATTAGTTCACCCAAAATGGAAAATTCTGTCATCATTTACTCACCCTCATGTCATTCTAAATCCGTATATAGTTTTTTTCCCCTCTTCTGCGGAACATAAAAAAAATACATTTTGAAGAATTGTTTTGGTGATCATTGACTTTTATTATATGTATAATCATTTTAATTTTGCAAAATATTTTCTTTAATGTTCTACAAAAGAAATGAATTCTTACAGATTTGCAACAATTCTATGGTGAGGAAATTAGGACAGAATTTTAATTTTTGGGAACTATTCCTTTAAACGAGACGGGATGCCATATTTAGAGTCATACGTCACCTTCAGCTTTCATTTTATTAAAAAGGTTTGGTTTTATGCAATCGCTGGACAAGAAAATTCTTTGTATATCAGCCATTTATTTACAAGTAATACTGAGTACATAAAACAGAAATATTTTGATTTGAACAACAATCAAGGAAAATTAGTTCGCATTAAATATCTAGGAAACTTATACTTATACTTCTTTGGGTTTGTGTGCTTGAGTAGCTGGTGTAACAGGTAATCATGTCTCCTTCACTCCAGTAAGGTTTACACAGATGCAGCTCGCAGACAAATTATTTGACTATCAAAATATTTTTCTTTAGTGATGCGGATTACATAAACTACAGAGCAGTAGGCCATATTCGCAGTTTATGATACATCACACCACATATGTATTCAATATATTCATTAAAGCACATAGTGAACAATCTAAAACTAAAGACAATACTTTTAAAAAATATTACAGTAAGAGAAAGACAGAAGTTCTTCTGATGCGCTCATGTCGATAGTCTATGGCAGCAGGTCACACTCTTATCTGCAGGATGAGTCAGATAATGAATGAGTGTTTTGCAAACATTAATTAGTTCAAAGCTAAAGGAATCTGTAATGTTTTGTGAAATGTTTCACCAATAAAGATGAATTTCTCATCCATAGGTTCAATAAAAACAGATTTGTGTTTAATAACTTCAGCTCACTTTCAGATCAAAGAGACCAGAGATTCTAAAGGAATTGCTCACTATTTTTTCTGAATGGAAATAAATATATAGGTCTTATTTTTGAACTGTCGAATTTTGCATATATTAGAAGTTTGTCTTACATTTGAATATGAAGAACAACATCCAGATGAAAACGATGCTGATGATGAAGATGCTGAAAAGGACCACACAAACCGGAAGACGGATCTCAGTTTGGCCTGATGGATTTGTTGATATGTTAGTTATATTTTTTAATTGACATTTTTATGGTTTGTTTGTTTATTTTAAAATAGGTTTCTTAATGTTTAATTTAATTACATTTAATCAATTAAAGTCCAAGGAAAATTAGACACACCACACATCATTCTACAGTGCCCTTTGTGCTCTATCGAGTTTGGAATGTAGTGAGTTCTGATTAGTGCTGCCAAACGAATAACTATTTTCTTCTTTCTTATTTTAAAATCACTCACCCTCATGACTGAAGTCCAGTGTAATGTTCCTGCTGTACGGTGTTTGTGTGCTTGAGTAGCTGGCGTAACAGGTGATTGTGTCTCCTTCACTCCAGTCAGGTTTACACAGACGCAGCTCGCTGTTCATGGCATAAGATGTGAATGGATGAAGTGACCTTTCACCCCGGCTCCAGGTGAAGTTCACCTGCTCAGGCTTCAGACTCTCCAATAAACAGAGCAGATGAACACAGGTGTCATTACTGCTGTTCAGTTTCTGCAATGACAGATGTGGACGAACTGCAGCGGAGGGAAATGAACAACACCAGCATGAGCTCAGGTATTCATAGTGTGGCATGGTTACTACATTACTATTGCGCATAGGGACATCTAGGTGATGGTCTACAACAATCATACATTTCAAATAAATAAATATTTATGAAAGTTACAATCACCTTGAAGTATTAGACACGAGCTTTTGTGCAAAGATGGTGGTGGTACTATTCTTGTTGTTTCACAGCTGTAATTACCGGAGTCACTGAGCTGAATGTTTTCTATGCTTAGTGTAAAAGACTTTCTGTTGAACGTAAAACGAGGATTGCAGTCTCTGGTAAGAGATCCAGCAATATTACCAATAATCCATTTACAAATATCATCTGCTCTATTTTTTCTCCACTGTACAGAAATGAGTTCACTGTTGTTAGAGGGTGAGTGGCAGGGCAGATGAACAGTTTCTCCTTTTACTGCTCTGAAAACCAACACACCTGTAAAATGAAATAAAAATGTAATTCAGCGCAACTTTTTTTTAATAGAAATTATTTTGTATTTTTTCCCCAGTTAAAAAATATATAACATAGAAGAAAAATGTTTATTATTTTTCATTCAATGTGCACCAAGTAAATAATAAACATTAAAATAGTCTTTAATAGAAATCTGCATTCAATAACATTTTGAATGGGTAACAAGTTGTATAGATTTTTTTTTAAACAAATACGGTTTTCTAAACAAAAAACAAAAAAAAAACAGCATCTAATAGCATCAGACTGTAAACACTTTTAGGTTCTACAGTAGCCAGCTTCACATTAAATCAAATAATTTGATATTATTATCATTAATAATAATAATAAAATTCACCACAAATATGTTACTTACCCTCACATACACACAGCGTGAAGCTGAAGATCAGGTGAAGAATCAGGTGGCTAAGAGCCAGTAAAGACATCATTGTAATCACTGTATGCAGAGTCTGTACTTCAGATGTACACTTTTGGTTCCTCCACGTCTAACATGTTAATTCAAAATGAATGAAGGCGGTACCTGTATATCATGATGTGCTCTACCACCAACTGCACTAGCCTAAATAAGTGAACCACAGAACCTCTTTTCGCAACAACTTTTTTTGTGTTATGGGTTTTAACTTGGTTTAATATGGGTAACAACAGTGATCAATATTATTTGTATTACCGTTATTATATTGTTATTATTATGAATTATTTACAGCCCCCAAATGTAGAACAAAACAGTATCTTAATTTAATAATAATAATAATTATTATTAATAAATAAAGTATTATTTAAATAAAACGGTATTTTATTGCCAAGTTGAAGTTAATTTAATTGCTAGTTTTATCAAAAATTTGATCACATCATCATCGTAAATATTATTGTCTGATTTAATTCATATTTTAAATAATAATAATTTTTAATGAATAAAATATAACTATGAATTTTAATGCCAAGTTAAAAAATTAAATAAACTGCATCAGATAAATCAATGTAAAAAACAATACAAAATAAAAATAAAAAAATAAATCATAATAATAATGGTTAACTAATCAAAAATCTATTATCCAAATCTACTTTTTTCTGAATGAAAAGGATTCTTTTCTTGTCAGATTAAACCCTCCATGTATGAGTCTATCAGTGACTTTCATGATCTGAAAGCAAGACTGCAGGCAGACATATTCATATGTATGTTACTTTAATAGGTGTGTAAAGAATAACATTTGCGTCAGCAGACAGTGTTATGACATAAGACTCAGTGAGAAGGGCAATGGCAAAGGGGTCCCTCTCTACTCAGGGGATCAGTAAGGCAAGGCTGCATCAACAACTGGGCTGTAACAATCAGATCCATACATTGCATCATACAGTACTAGTGACAATAATCAGATCAAGCACACAAGTATAAACTCCTTAGAGGAATCAAGAACAGGATCTCGGGTAAGCGTTTAAAAAGACAGCGCCACAACTGCATCTAAAGCCATGAACGTACATTCTTGTACAGAGAAAATCCTCATCGTTGATAGGGTGCATATTCAAGGTTATTAAGACTCGAAACGAGTAGAGAAGGTGAAACTTGGAAAGGTTTGGCAACTGAT